TGGGAAAGTCATACCTATATACACTGATGTGATAAGAGTCATGCTATATACCAAGTTATTATCCCAATTAAAATTATAATTAGAAGAATAAATATTATTGGATTTAATTTTTTTGTTGTACATTGGTTATAAAATTGACTGGTGTTTTGTTTTGTTTTTGAGTCAGGGTCTCTTATGTAGTCAAGGTAGCCTTGAACTCTATGTAGCCCAGGCTGGTCACAAATTCATGATCCTCTTGCCTCTGCCTCCTTAGTGCTGGGATTATAGATGTGCACTACCACACCTGGCTAACATTGATGTTTGAGTCATTTTTTTTAAAAATATGTACTGTTTAATGTTCCTTTGTATTAGAAAATCTAAATTTTCTTGTGTTTTGTATTGGTAGACATAGAAGTGACATAGAAGTGCTCTACAACTTTAAAGATGATTCCAACTTTCATGTTCTGTTAGTCACAATGTTTTTGGCTGCAGGTAACAGAAATTGCCAATCAACTGGCTTAATAAGGAATGAGTTACGTGACCAAAAGACTGGGATAGGTAATTCTTCAAACCAATAGCATTATTCAAGATAATATTCTTTCCATCTTTCTGCTCCTAGCTTATAGGCTTCATCCTCTAGTCCCTCATGGCTTCAGGTTGGCTATGGCCACTCTAAGGCACCACTAACTCATAGATCCTTTTATGAGCATTTTCAGTCTTCTGACAGACTTTCCTTCACACCTCATTGTCCAGAACTGGGTCATATGGCCATAGCTAAAACAGTCAAGGCAAAAGGGACATTTCCACCATGATTCACTTAGATGAATAAAGACCACAGCTGGAATCACATGGGAAGAGATGGTGAAAGGTGGATAGTTAAACAAAATTAGAATGCTGTCTGCAAGGAAGAACGGGAGAATGTCAGTGAGGTATACATAGCAAAATATGATATATAGGGAGGGATGCCAAAAGCCCAAGTTAAGAATCCCTAGCATAAATTGAATTTTAAATTCAATGCCTGCATCAAATTGTAGTTCTGGAAGCTAATGTTCTTTGACCATGTGCATTCATTTTGTTCTGCATAGAAACCTGGCCAAGGTGATTCCCACCTCGAGACTAAGATACAATACAGTCTTGATACCTGAGCCACACAGCATGGTAGGAGCAAGGGGGAGGGAAGGTTAGTAAGAGCCTAGCAGGAAATGGGGACATAGCTGTAAATCCCCCAAAAGAACCAAGTTTGAGCAAGGGAGTGACAGATCTGATCTGTGGATGTGAGGTCTAAGGAAGATCTAGTCTACAGGATGCTTTAAGAAGTCAGAGTAAGCTGGGTGCCAGTGGCTCATGCCTATAATCCTAGCTACTCAAGAGGCAGAGATCAGGAAGATCAGGGTTCAAAGCCATCCCCGGCAAGTAGTTTTTAACACCCTATCTCAAAAATACCAAACACAAAACAGGATTGGCAGAGTGGTTCAAGTGATAGAGTGCCTGCCTAGCAAGCATGAGGTCCTATGTTCAAACCCCAGTGCTACCAAAAGAAAAAACAAGGAAGTTCAGAGTAGACACAGTGAGTGTTCAGCTCTTCCAGTCCAATACCTAGAAAGCAAGGTAGCTAGCTGACTAGGTACGATGCAGGGTCTTGAGATGCTGACCATCCTGTTGACTGTTTTGATCTTAGGTGCAGTTGGGGATGGGTTAGTGGACCTTACAGTTAGATGGTGCCATTTTGAGAGGAACAGAGCAGCTCAGGAAGGACGGGGAGTTACATAAATGGAATATTAAATCGTAATGTAATGAGTATGCTCTTGACTTATTTGGCAAGTCAGTGTTGGAAATACCCATATGATTTCTATGAATGTAAAACTTCTCTTGTCAACTCTGTACTTTGCTTTTACCCCAGGTCTCCATGTGACTTGTCCCTTCAGGTCTCTCTTCCTCCAAGAGCTTCTCCCTGAGCCCTCATCCTCAGCTCTCAACACCTCCTTCCCTGGTTTTTCCTCATAGCTTTGATTGCTGCTGCAAAATTTATTTATGACTTATTATTTTTCTTGTTCATGCTATCTTAACTACTAAGAACCTAATGGTAATAGTGTAGGCACTCAAGTAAGATTTGCTGGCTGAGTGATGAAATACTTCTAAGTGTTCTTTCTAAAGTTTTTTTCTCCTAGCACATTGTTTCAGTTTTTTTGGTTGTTGTTGTTGGCTTTTTTGGGGTTTTGTTTTGTTTTTTTTTATAAGAGTTATTTTTGGTTTCCTTTTTTCTCTTAGCTACCAGAAATTATTAAATTATATTCTAAGTTCATTTACACTTAGTTTGGAATGTCTGCACTCCTTTTATTCACTATATGGTGCTTACAATAATTTATTTTAATAATACAGGTTTCAGTATTATTTATTATAAGCTGCCACAGATCCTTTATAAAAGTAAATGAGGAATGAATAATAGTAAGTGAGCTAAGGGTGACAGATGGAGAAGTTAAAAGGGAGCATTGTACTTTTGGGGCTGGGTGAATAAGATAATTCTGACTCTGTTGTTAATAAAATAGGAACCAGATCAAACATTATTGATAAAAGCATCTCTGTGTAGTCAGACACTGGTGGCCCACACCTAGAATCCTAGTTACTTGGGGTTACTTGGGAGACTGAGATGGGGAAGATCAAGGTTCAAGTCTCAGCCTGGGCAAATAGTTCTCAAGACCCCGTCTCCAAAATAGCCAGAGCAAAATGGACTGGAGGTGTGGCTCAAGTGGTAAAACACCTGCTTTGCAAGTGTGAAGTCCTGACTTCAAATCCCAGTCCCAACCCAAACAAACAAAAAACACTGTCCCATTTTGGCACATCTCCCTCCATTGTTATGGCTTGGTCAGGTGTGGGGGTGGGGGGGCAGTTAGGCTTTGAGTGACATGACGACAACAGCAACTGTATCTTTCTTATTTGCTTATAATTAGTTCCAGTGCTCATATGTAAGGAATGTTTGATAAATTAATAAATTCGGTTGGGAATGTAGCTCAGTAATAGAGCACATGTATAGCATGCCAGTCCCTAGGTTCGATCCCCAGTACTATAAAAATTATGAATATTGATTAGTTAATTTAGTGTGGCTTTTCTTCACCATTTACTGTAAATTTTAAGTCCTTATGATATTAACCATTATTTTGGGTCTCATGTCCTGCTACCCTTTTCTACCTGAAATTTACCCTCCTGATGGATTTTTTTCCTCCTTCTCGGACTTTGAGGTCTCCTTCCCCTGATGATGACATCAAAGGTAACTCTTCAACTCGAAGACTTAAAACTGAACAGGGCCACAGAGATCTTGTCTAACTGACTCCTTGGTTCAGAGAAGTGACATGAATCACCCAAGGGCACTCTGCTAATCGGCAGCAAGGGGCCAAAATTAGAACACAGAACTATTACTCTGGATCCATATATCATAATACTATGTGACCAAGCCCTTTTCTAACTCCACAAAGGGAGAGCACTATAAGAAAAGTAGAAGAGTATATTTTCCTTCGTTTTAGTTGGAAAGACATTTATTTATTTGTTTGTTTGTTTGGCAGTACTGGGGTTCAAACTCAGGTCCTCACACTTGCTAGGCAGATGCTCTACCACTTTAGGCCTCTGCCAGCCCTAGTTGGAAATATCTTAAATGAAATATAGGAGTTCAGTGTCAGACAACCTAAGCTTGATCCCAACCCTATTTATTCTTTGAACAAGTTTTTTCAGTCTCTCTTAGTGAATATCCTTTCTATCTTTTTTCCTTATGTATTTGTATATTTAATGTACATATTTAAATCTGTAAATTTGTTGTTTTGCTGAACTAGGGTTTGAGCTCAGGGCCTTCACCTTGAGCCACTCCATCAGTCCCATTTTTTGTGATGGGTTTTTTCAAAATAGGGTCTCACAAACATATATTTGCCCAGACTGGCCTCAAACCACTATCCTCCTGATCTCTTGCCTCCTCAGTAGCTGGGATTATAGGTGTGAGTCACTGGCACCCGCTCTCATGTTCCTTTCAGTGCCTGTCACATAGTATTAGGTAACACGTGTATACCATGGTTATTTAGCCACATCCATGTTCTTAATATTTACTTTTTATGTTCTCATTTTTCACTACTGTAATTCTGCAATAAAATCTTTACCAGATATCTTTGTGCATATGTAAGACTACATTTCTAAGCTAGATACTTAGAAATATAAAGAATAGGTCAAAGAGTATATACTTTTTGGGGCTGGTGGAGAGGCTGAAATGGTAAATGCCTGCCTAGCAAGTGCGAGGCCCTGAGTTCAAACTCCAGTACCACAAAAAATAAAGTATATATTTTTCCAAGGTTAAAATTTCCCCTTTCTATTCTGAAATAGACTATGGCTGACTTACCACTGATTGAATTTTGGTAGTATATGGTCATATTAACAGACTTAGCAGAGGCTAAGTCTTAGAACTGTGTGTGTTGTATATTAGGAACTGTGAGCATTTTAGAGGAAATTACTCTATATTTTTCTTATTCTACATGAAAGGTGCATTGTGTTTCTGACATTGGCGGGAGAGGACAAAAACAAAACAAGTTTCTTTCTTCTCTTCCTTTTAAGGGACTGAGAATAGTGAAATAATGTTCTGTAAGTAACCGCTCCTTAACTCTGATGGCATTCACCCACCATACAGTACTGTACTAGTCAGTACTTACTTGTTTATACTCACCTTCTAAACTTTGAGCTTCTTAAAGGGTAAAGATTATTTTTTCATATTCCTAGAACATTAGCATATCTAGCACAGAGTCTCTCTGTATAGTTCGGACCTTGAACTCACCTATGTAACCCAGGCTGGCCTTGAACTTTCAATACTCAGCCTCCAGAGGTCTGGGAGTGTAGGCAGATCATAGGTATGCACCACCATGATTTTTAGTGGTTAGTAAGTCCCTGAAAAGTACAAGACATCATGCAATATATCATGGTGATATTGCTATTTCACTTAAGGATTTGAAATTTTGTTTTAAAAGATTTTGGTTTCTTCCTTTTTTCTGTAGGGGACATGGTCTCAAAGTACCGAGAACCTTTGATCCACACCTTCCTGAGAGGAGCCAGAGATCCAGATGGTGTTCATAGGGCCAGCAGCTTAGTCAACCTGGGAGAACTGTGCCAGCGCCTGGACTTCCTACTAGGGCCAGTGGTTCATGAGGTGCTGTATGTTGACTCCTTCCTCCAATGCTTGTTTTTGCTTGGATCTATGATATAATTTAGGATTATAAGTCAGGAGACCTGTGATTTTTTTTCCAGATCTGCCTCTGCCTCCCTGTAAGAGAGGCCAAGCCACTCACTTAACTTCCCCATTAACTACTAATTCCCTATTTGTTCCTCTTAACTTCTCTATTTGTCTCACATATATTTGCAGGTATATTACAGGTTGAACGTCCCTAGTCCAAAATTCCAAATATTCCCATATCTGAAACTCTTTGACCAACAATATGCCATAATAGGAAAATTCTTCATACCATAAAACTATTCACACACAAAACCATTTAAAATGTTATAGAATTATGTTTTGGCTATTTGTAAAATGTTTTAATGAAACATAAATGAAGTTCAGATTTAGATAACTCTTAATGTATGTGTAAGTATTCCAAAATTTGAAAAAAATCTGAAATCCAAAATAGTTTGGTCCCAAGCATTTCAGATAAGGAACACTCAACCTGTAGTAAGAACCTCTTATTTCCAAGTTCCTAACACTACCTTAAGCAATAAAAGATGACAACTAACAGATTCTGAGGCAACAACAGAACTGAAGAAGCTTTGAGGAGTAGGTAGATAGACCTGCACCTGGGTCTGTGGACCATCCGTGAGTCTTACCTCTGTTAATATAAAAATCTCAGGCAGATACTCTGATTGGCTCTCCTTGGTCACAGGTGCCAAGTGGATCAGCTCAAAATTGGTGGGATCCATACATTTTCTAAACTAATGAGCCTGAACAATATTTGAGTGTTATGATCACTGAACCCAAACACTGAGACCTTATTTCTTTTACAGTCCCTAGACTTTTCTCTCTCTTGAAGTAATTGCAGCATGTTGGCAGATTGAGCTAAAGCAGATTTTATAATGTTAAAGATGTGTCATCTTTCTGGAAATCGATGGACCAATTAAAAGAAAAACAAATTGCTAGGCAGTCTTGAAAATGGGAGTAAATGAGAGCTCAGCTCCACTACCTACTTACATGTTTCACTAGAGCAAATGACTTAGACTCTGAGCTCAGTTTTTTGATGTAGAAAATGGGATTAAAATACATATGATATAGGATTTAACAAGGATTTGTAGTTAATGTATACACTTGGTGAAATGACTTATTCAACAATTTTTATCAAGAGCCCACTACATTCCAAGCAGTATTATGGATACCTAAGCTATCTCATGCTTCAAAATAAACAATGGTTCTCATCTTCCTAGAGCTTCCAGTCTAGTGAGAGGGGAAAGACATAAAGAAAACACATAATCAGAAAAGTACACAATATGTTAGACAATAAGAAAAAGAGAAGTAGAGCAGAGGAAGGTGATCAGGATTATAGTGTTAGGTGGGGTGGTTGCAGCATTAAGTAGGGTATCTAGGTAAGCCTGTTGGGAAGGTAACATTTGAATTAAATCATTGTGGTTTTCTATATTCAGATTTTTTTTCTTTAAAGAGCATCTTGGTCATTTGGAGAGGGCTGAGGATGACAGTGATGAATTTAAGCAGCAAAGCAATGAGAAGAATACTGCAGCCAGCATCCTTCAAATGTCCCCAACACTTGAGTGTATCAGGCCCTTTTTTAGGGGCTGGGTATACAAACTCCATCAACAGCACCTTGCCCTCTGGCCCTGAGGAATCTGGTGGTCAATGATTACCATGACAGCCCATTGGGATAGGTGCTGGGACACATGTGAGGAGCCCCTGGATCAGGTTGGGGCATTGACACAGATGCCTAAAGGAAGAGATTTTGGGCTGAGTCTGGAGAATAAGTAGAAGGTAGGTAGGCAAAAGAGGTAGGGATGAGCACCTCAGCAGAGGTGCAAAGGTACAGTGTTGAGGACAGCCTGACACATTTGAAGAACTACAGGAAGGAAGATCCTGAAGACTGAGTAGAGGAGTAGGGTTGGGGATTAGTTGGTGCTGGAGCAAGGGAGACAAGCAGGATGGCATCATGAAGGTCTATATTTTACAGTGTGGCTTTCTGCCTCACAGAATCAAAGATTGTTTATTTATCCTTCAGAAGTGGGCCATTTATCTGCCATATGTGCTGACACAAAGAGAAGCACCATTTGTGACTCTGGGACCTTTTTATGTTTCAACCTTCAAGTCCAGGTGACGAGTGACTTGCTGTGGGTGCCCTGCCTGGTATATACCTGTCCAATGACCCCACCCTTCACCTAGAGACCTGTAACTGTTTCTGCTGTTATTAATCAGAACAGTTCATGGTCGTTAATAAACTGTGAGCACAAGAAGGGTAGCAATGGTCTATGAAAAAGGAGAGTTCACCTCGTCATACCCTCGAGTAACTTACCACAGTGCTTGCCATTTAATGGGCCTGAGTGTTGTCTGTTAACATCTAATAAAGAGGAGGGAAAGACTGGTTAGGAAGACTAGTTCCTACATGTTTAGAAAATTGTCATAATAAGCACTTAATACTCTTCTGAGTGTCTTACATATGTCAACAGATCCAATCCTCACGGGAAATTGAGGCACAGAGAAACTAAGTAAATTTTACAGATAGGAGGAATGGCAGGGCTGGGATTGAAATGTGAGCAGTTAGCTCTAGAATTCATGCTCTTAACCACTCCTCTATATTGTCTCTCAGTAACTATTTTCAGCTCATTTATAAGAGTACTTTTGTGCCTTGAAACTGAAGAGTATTGCCATATGAGAAAAGTCACAGGCAGGAAGGGTCATGTAGCTCTGCATTCTTAATAGAGCTTGCTTTCGGCATTGAAACTTCAGAAGGCAGTGTATTCCTTCTGATTTGAAAAACTTGGTGTTTCCGTCCCATATAATCTCTGTCTCCTCTTTTTAGATGTTCCTTCTTATGTAACATCCCACCTTGCCTTGTCGTCAGTGCTAAACCAGCTGCCTTGGGTGGACTACAAGTTTGAACATGCTTGGAGACCTGCCAGTATTAGTATTTGGAGCCACTGAGTCCAAATCAGACAGCTCAAGTCCATTCACATGGCAAGAGTGGGCTCTTTGGCATGGCTCTTTAGTAGTTCTTCATTCGATTGTTTATTCACTCAACAGACATTTATTGAGGACATACTCTGGGCCAGTTGGGCCTATAGCCAAACCATGTGCTAGGTGCTGAAGACCCCAAGTCACAAGCACAATAAAGTCCTTGTCCTCATGGACCTGACATTCTGGAAAGGAAAGGTAGGCAATAGGCAAGTAAATAATCTATACCATGTCATGTGGTAAGTGCTCAAGAGATAAATCTAGTGAGATAAGAGCCACAAAGGAAGCTCGCTATTATATGTGACTCAGATGGACAGGAAGCGCTTCACTGGTAAGTGACAATTGAGCAAAGACCTAAGGAAGCAAGGACACGATTCAGATACTTGAGGGGACAGCATTCTAGGCAGAGGGAGATACAAGTACATTGGCCCTGAGGCAGGTACAGGCTGGATGTATAGGCAGCAGCAAGACCAGCGTGGCTTGAGAGAAGAGGGTAAGAGAAAATCACAGGTCACCATCAGAAAGATGGTGGCCAGTCGAAATGGGATTTGCACAGACTGGCTTTTCCTGTGAGTGAGATGAGAAGCCAAAGCAGAGGAATACAGTGGTCTAGCTTATTCTAGAAGGTTATTGGCTTCTTATATGACTCTTTTTCCAGAGTCTCATGAAAGCTCTTGAAGACTTGTAGTCTCAGAGGTACTTACCTCAAGTGTATACTGGTGGAGAAAGAAACTTGTTTTTGTAGCCTGAAGGGATTCTCCTTTGGGAGCATTGGTCACATGCCAAGAATGCTGGAGGACACAAATAAAGGACCCAGTCTCTTCCCTTAAGGAAATCTCAGTAGAGTGTGAAATGGACTGAGGACCAAATAGATGTGATAGGAATAGTCAAGGGGCTGAAGGAATATAGAGCTGGGACTTAATTAAATGTGTGAGGGCCTAAGGAAGGTTATGTTGATTGAGTGCTAGGCAGGCAGAGGAAGAGAAGAAACAATATTTTGATACAAAGTCAAATAAGCTAGCCACCAAAGACTCCTCTAATATGATCAGTTCTTGGGGGTATCTGCCTTTCCTCTAGCTATAGTGCATGGGTGTCTGAAGAAGGCTGTCCTAACTCTTGGGTGGTCCAGATTTGGTACTCTGTGCTTTTATGGTGCTGGCTGGTAGGAAGGGAACACAAAGTGTAGGTTCAGCCCCTCCACAGTCTTCATACTGGGAATTCAAGTTTTTCCTCTTTGTTGATGTCAAGATTTAGAGAGCATTATTAATGTTTTCCCAAATTCTTCTTGATCAAGAGTGGGTGTTACTTCAAACCAAATCTTGATAGACTCTTGTTTGGGTTTTTTTTTTTTTTTTTTTTTGATAGACTCATATTTATCACACTTTAAGAAAAGCAATATGATTTACGTGTACCACAAAGAGGGGCCTGTCCTCAATCTAGCAAATAAGATGTGCCCCAAGGTAACAAATCCCTGGAGCAGTCTACTTTTAATGCAGTGCCCAAATTTGCATGTACCTGAGCTTTGAGTTCTAATACAAAGCTGCAGCCTCTGATCCACTCATGACTTGAATTTATTACCATCTTTGCCACCATCAGTGCAGTTTCCTAAGTGACAGAGCTCATGCAGTTTGAGGCTGTGTTTACATCTGAGATGAGAACTTGGCAGATGTTCTGGAGACCCCCTCTGCCCTCTCACCCTCACCCCTGCAAGGAATCTCAAGCAGCCACGATGCTTTCTTTCCTGGTAGGTAGAGTGATCAAGCTGAGCTCATAATAATTATTGGTTACACTGCCTTTGCTATTCAGGTTTCCTAGTTCGCCGATGATCTAGTTTCAGACAAGTTTCCAGACTGACTAAATTTTAACAAAGGTAGTTTTAGGAAAAGGGGTGAAGATGCAGTTGGAAATCAACTTCCGTGATATGTACCTCAACTCTGATACCTTCTTTCCTGGAATTTTCCAAAGTCAGTTTGGTGTACTTTTGCCATTTGTATTATCTTTATTTTTATAGTTCTGATTATGCTTAGTGTGTGCCAGCTGTTTGAGGAGTGATGTTTTTCCTTATTTCTGTTGGCTCCTGTGAAGCATTAAATTGCTTAAACTGACCTTTAATGTTTCCAAAGCAGCCATCATCTTTCTGTTTGTGTGGCTTTCAGAAGTGAGTATACTGAATTTTTTTCTTGTGGTGGTTCTGGAGTTTGAACCTAGGGTTTTACATGCCTCTAGCCCATAGAAGTGGGTATGAGTCACATGATTTAATCAGTGAAGAGAAAGCCTTCCATAGTATCACTTACTGCAATAGGTATACTGACCCCCAGGGCAGATTTCATGAAGATCACATAGAATGGATTTCTGCCCTCTGGGAGGACTTAGAAACAGATATTGGAAATAACTATACCAATTCATGAATTAGTAAAGACCTTACATCACCTGTTTATCACTCACCAGGGAATGAAAGGCAATGTTGAGTTTATCTTTGGAGTTGGATGTGAGAGACTACCATGGAGTGACTTGTCAGCCTGCATAGATGGAGGAAAGTAGCCTGCATTCTCCCTGCTTCTGTATTAGACGGAGGACCTGTCCTACCACCAGCCTGCAGGAAAGTAGCATAGGAGCTGGGCAAGGAGCTTGACCTGAGCAAGGGAAAGCTGTTCTTACATCTGAATAAGATCTGCAAGGCCATTTTAAAATCCTCGTGCCCTAAAAACATTTTGCATGAGCAACCACTATAGGTCATGGGATTTGGTCCTGGTGGCAGTGTTGAGGAAGGTCATGAACCTCTTCCATTTTCAGACCTCTTCCTGATTGTCCTAGAGGCTCCTTGTGGACAGCACATAAGTCACTAACAGCAGGAGGCCATTCTAGCAAGCCTTGTAAAATCAGCTCCTCTCTTAGGTGCACCTTCTTAGGGATTCAAGAACTGACCTTGAAGGGAAAACCGTTTCCAGCCATGATGCTTTGGCCCGAATATCCCAGTTGTGGAATTAATGCCTCATAGTCAGAGCTAGTCTTGCTCTGAGAGCTGAGGTGGAGCATTTCCCACTCAGCATGGTGAAGCAGAACAGAGGGGATAAAGGCAGATACCGACAGGAGAGTCTAAGTAGGAAGCCTTGGTCTGCCAAACTAGACCCCGAGGGGAGCAGGCGAATGCTTCAGAGCCTGTGTTCATGACACAGCCCTGGCCTGTCTTTTGCTCATTAGTTATCAGATTAAATAAACCGAACTTCCTCGTGTCCAGAAGGACTCTGGCCTAGCTCTAACTTGTTCAGCTCTTACCTTGTAAATACTAAACCTGAAGGTGGAGGTAGCTATTATATTGTTACCTGTTTGGAGGTGGCCCAAGGAATTCTGTTAGGATTGAATTGCTTCTAACATTAATGCTAGAGGCCTGGAAGCCACTGCTGGCCTTAAGGTCGGGGATCCTGGTCAAAGGCAGAATCAACTTTCTGGGCCTTTATGGAAAGCAACCCCCAATGAAGAGCTTTTCTGGGTTTTCCCTTCCCTTGCAAGCTGCAAGTTCGTCTAGTAGTTGTACAACTTGATTAAATGCCAGTGCATCACAGATGCAATTATATTTGAGAACAAGCTCTTTCTTCTAATCTTGCCGCCATCACTGATTAATTAGACACTTTGAACTATGCCCAACTGTTTGAAAGCTGTGAAAAATACAACCTGCATAATTAAATTTTCTGCACAAGCCTATTTCCTCATTTGTGCCTGTATTCACCATTCTTAGAACATAATATGTATTTATATGTGTTTCCAAACACACAATCTGGCTATTTTCTTATCATGGTTAGAAATCCCTCACTGTTGGCCAGGAAATACAGGCTCACAGCAACTCCAATAATGAAAGCATGTGAGAGACCAATTGAATAATTTAAATTTAAATGTATCTTCAGGTTGTTGTGACTGTCGGTCACACTTGTAAAAATTAAGTTTTTTCTTCTTAAACCTTGGATGATTGCCTCAGAAAGATCTGTCATTGTTGTGTTAATGTATCTCTTTATTGAAATTTTAGAGTATCTTTTGTGCCCACCAATAGCAGTGGTAGTATGGCTGGTACAGGGAATAGAAATAGTCTAATTTTATAACACACTAATTATTAGCTATATATCTGGGGCCATGTTTTAGCTTTTCTTTTCTGTTACAGAATTGTCTTTAAATCACTTCCCAGCCTTTTAGCCAAATTGTCTTTGGGGAAAGTAACTGAGCACAGAAAGGTCTATCTCACAAATGAAGAAGCCCAGGCAGAAAGTCTCTGAAACTGGCTAATGCTGACTTTCTAGGTATATGCTAGATTTGTAGGACTAAGATGTTGGATATGCCAAAGGATATCAGTTTGCATACTTCTTTATTTCTGTATCCCTGAGCTGAAATTTTCATCAGTGGTGCATCGCTATTCATGTCAGGCCTTGAACTCTGAAGCCTCCTTAGCTAATTCTCCATGGTCCTCTGTCCCTACAAACAGCTGTGTTTTAGGCCATCTTTCCTTCTCTTATATGATGTCCCCAAAAGGGGACACGAACAATTTTCTCTGCTTTTGAGGAGATATGAAACTTGATCTTACCTTTTTTGAGATACATATTACATCCATCTGTTTCTTCTCACTCCCTGATTTCCCTCCTGAGTTCCAAATCAGATTTTGTCTTTCCAGAAAAGCCAGACTGCATCAAAACCTCTCACCTTCTTTATTGAACATTAGAAAACTACTCTACCCCTCTCTAAGCCAGATTGCTATTGATGAATGTGTAGTAAGTGAAACACAGTTGAAAGGCTATATAGAGGTAATTGTGTGCAGTTCTGACTTTTATTGACTTCTTTTTCCCTCATTCTCTTAGGTGACAGCTTGCCTGATTGCTGTGGCTAAAACAGACCCTGAAGTTCAAGTGCGCAGAGCTGCCATTCATGTGATTGTGCTATTGCTTCGGGGCCTCAGCCAGAAAGCTACTGAGGTACGTCAGTGTCTTCCCATGTGCAACTCCCTTACTTCTTTGCTTTTTGTCTTCAGCCTTTCTTTTACTGGGGCAGGCTCAAACCTTGTCCCTAAATGGACTCATGCAAATGAATCAGTCAACAGGATTTTATAGCAGGAAAATGGTATTGTTTGCATCTTCAGTAAGAGTTTCTGTTTCCTTTGTAATATATTGGGCAAACTACTCAGTAAGTGCTACAGAAAAATTAGCACTCCACATAGGTGGAGGGCCTGAATCTGTCATTCTCTTCATGGGGGCAGGTTCCAAGGTGAACTAGCAGAAGCACATTAACATGTCTCTGCAGCCTGACTGCTAGTGGCTTGTCTGCCTGACTCATTTCATCAATCATGCCGAGTTTCTGATGGGCTTCATTTAAGAAGTTTCCTTTCTAGCTCTAAGTTCAATCCATGAGATTTTCGTTGCTGCATACATTATACTTTCTTCCTTCCTCAAGTGGGTTTGGCTGGATTTCGCCCCTGTGTATGGCCAATAAAGGAAGACAGTTTATATATCCAGATGTGTGCTAAGAATAAGGGACCTTGAAATTAATTTTCTTCTTGATTCTAATGGAAACTTATATCCGGTTGACTTCAGATAGAGAGTTTGCATTAATAATTCACTTCCTGGCACCCACAATGCTTGTCTGTGGTTTGTATATCGGTATTTAACCAAGTGTCAAGGAAGCCATTATAAGAATGATTGTTTTGTCACACACAGAGGCTTTATTCATACTAAAATTTACCATGTCAAGTTCCTGATACCTGTTTTTACAAGCATAGACTTGTTAGTTATCCTCTTCCTTCCCTGTACAGCCACATTTTCTCTATAAATGCCTACTTGCTATTGTTTCAGCTCAGTAGCTAGGCCATTGAATTTCCAAATGGCCACTTCCCTGTTCTTTACCTGCAATTGCATTTTTCTCCTTCTCATCTGCCTTGAATAGATTAAGGTTTGAGGGCAATGCAGGGACTCTTTACTATCTTTGTAACTTTTCTGTAAGTCTAAAATTATTTAACAAGAAAAAATTTATTTAAAATATAAATTACAACACTTCTAAAAGAAATCTACAAAACTCTGGGGGTGGGAGTGGGGTTAAGTGGTATAGCCCATGGTTAGTGTGCAAGAAGCCCTGGATTTGATCCCCAGTGCCAATAAGTAAATAAATACCTCTGTAAGTGCACACCTCCTTAGTAAGAGTGAGAACATGAAAGAGAGATGGGGAGGGAGGGAAGGAGGGAGGGAGGAGAGAGAGAGAGAGAGAGAGAGAGAGAGAGAGAGAGAGAATGTGTCTGTAAAGTAGAACAAAATATCTGGTTAGCAAAGTAAGAGAAGAAATAGGAACTCTATCCAGATTTCCCACATCTGTGTGTAGCTCATGGAAACAACACTGCTTGTCTTACCAGTACTAAAGTAATTTGTGGCTATGGAAGACTTTTGTCACTTTCTAAAAGCCATGTGAATGGAAAGCCTACCTCCTGTTCTCCAAACTGTCTCTCGTCTGCGCTCACCAAAACTTATAAATTGTGCTTACTCAGTGAATAAAGAAAAGGAAATGGGATTGGATGAATGCGTGATTCTTCTTCCTAGTGTGTCCTTGAGACCAGGTGTGTAAATCTTGTAATGGTGGGTGTGATTATAATCAGGAGCACTGTAATGAGAATCGGAGATAACCACAAAGCTTTCAAGCTGGGATTTCTCTTTAGAGCTCTGTTTTGCCCCCAGGAACAGCTGAAATGAAAATGCTACTTTGTTGATGAAGTTTTATGTTTTCTTTTTTTTCCTTCTAATCACCATCTCTCAGGCTGTATAGTGCCAAAAGATAATACTGGGTTTTAGTGAATTCTCTGCTAATTGTGGATGTGCTAGCCAAGGACCTATATGGTTATGGCAGCTGGAAAGGGAGGTAGAGGAGATAGATTGGGATCAAAAGGCAAGACATCACTCACTACCCCTAACTCATGAGGTAGTTTTTACCTTGTTCCCATTTGACAGTAACCAGAGTTTTATGCACTCAACACAGTATTCACATTGGAGGGAAATACCGCACTCACTTTCTTACTTAAAAACCTCTTTCAAGCGGTGCCGATGGCTCACGCCTGTAATCCTGGCTACTCAGGAGGCAGAGATCAGGTGGATTGCAGTTCGAAGCCAGCCCCAGGCAAATAGTCCTCGAGACTCTGTCTCAAAAAAAGCTGTCACAAAACAGGGCTGGCAGAATGGCTCAAGTAGTAGAGCACCTGCCTAGCCAAGCGTGAGACCCTGAGTCCAAATCCGAGTACCACCAAAAAAAAAAGTTTTTCTCTGCTAGCCTTATGTTAACCTTATGATCTTATCTTGCTTGTTATATAGCCTGAAGTTTAGTTGAAAGACAGAAAGGGAGTCCTTTAAACCCATTCTACCTTACCCTTGCTAAAAACTAAATTTACTAGGAGTACCAAAGAGAGGAGGCATGTTCAGACCTGCACTTGATGTTAGTCTCACAGAGTTAAGAATAGGGCTTCTCAACATGGGAACAGTGAGCTAAAGCAGCAGAACGGGGCAATGGTGCCTGACTACCCTGCACTTCCCAAGTTTCATCTTTGCTTGAAGATTTGTTTATTCTACATGTAGTAAATGTTTAAAACATCCAGATCCATAAACGCATTCCAAAAACAGTAATTAGGGCAGTAATAGTTGAGCGCTAGCCCATCAGACTGGCCCTTCTTCAGATAACATCCATAAAGTCTGGATGTAATATAATGAGCAACTACCTGAAACCACTGGAGAGGGATTAGAAGCAAGCAACTTTTTTTTTTGTGGTTGGGGGGAGGTAACTGGGGTTTGAACTCAGGGCCTCACGCTTGCTAGGCAGCTGCTTTACCACCTGAGCTACACCTCCAGCCCAAGAAGCAGGCAGATTCTTCAGAGGGGTCCATGCTTAGAGGAGAGGTGATGTTCATGGTGAGTTACTGTTTATTGACTTTTAACCTAGGGACAAGGTAAAAATAAATCATAAGTCCCTATCTAGAAACTACCCAACACAAAAACAGGGCTGGTGGAGTGGCTTAAGTGGTAGAGCGCCTGCCTATCCTGTAAAGTCCTAAATTCAAACCACAGTACCACAAAATAAATAAATAAATAATACATGGTAGTGCTTACCATGTAAAATCCTAGCACACTGGCGACTGAGGCAGGAGAATCTCAAGCTCAAGGCTAGCATGGCCTACATAGCAATACCCTGTCTCAAAAACAAAAACAAAAATATTAAAAAGTAATTCCCTTTCTAATCCCCAATTTTATTTTTTCATATAAACCACAGAATATATTTAATTCAAATTAAACTTGAAACTAGAATGATGTTCAGTCCTTATCAAGGCAATTATATTGTTTTAAAAATGCACATACATTTCTCTCTACATTCTGGTGATCATTAAGGCACAAATCACATCCAGTTTAATGAGGTGACAGATCCAGCTCAATGCTTATGGTTGTGGGGCAGGGGCTTCGGCGGGGAGACACAGACCATATTTAATACAAAATGATTCTTCAGCAGTCTGAAGAAAGGAAGTTTCCTCCTAATATGGGTAACCCCTAATTTTAAGTGACAAAAAGAATAATCTCTACTTTGTCTGGTGTAAGATTGGTAGTAGATTTTAGAATTTACTCTTTCAAGATGATTAAAAAAAAATCTTAACATCAGGTTGTTTCTTCAAAAATAAAACCTGGAAGCATCTTCGGGGGCCTGAGTTTATGATTAATTTAAGCCAAACCCAATCCTCCACCTTGGAGTGACTTTTAATTCCTTCTTTTGAGTATTAGACTTGATGACAGAAACTTTGTCCTCATAACATGGAGAGTGGTGGGTTCACTACATTAACAGTTGGAGGGCATGAGTGTCTACAAGGTGATATTTGGTAAGAATTTAGCCTTTGTTGTACATGTTCACAGTGTCATAGGTTACAGGGCGTAGAAGAATTTCAATATACATTGTAAGTTTATAAATTATCTCATACTTCTCTCATTACTCACTCTTGCACATCCCAATTGCAGTTGCTCCATTTTTGTGAGAGAGAAGGCAACCCCTGGCTAAAAAAAGGAAATGGCTTGGGTCTGATAGTATTCATGGCCCATCCAGAAGATTTATTGCCTACATCCTAGGTTCACCTTGTGCCTCTGTCCAGGCCAAGTGGGAACCAGGGCATAACAATCTTTGACATAGCACAAATGCGAGTTATAAGTGAACAGACAGAATGGAAAGTTTCCTTCCTTTTACTGGCTTTTGTCTTATCCTAAAAGTTAATTTGACAACATTTGGTGTATTTTGTGCTATATGCCCAGTACATGGACCAGCATCCTTTCCGGAATGATCTCCACAGACACTGCTTTTTTGAGGGAGCAATGAAAAGAACATTTATGTAAAAGTGACTGGGATCCAGGTAATACATATTCCTCTGTAACTCTTAAAAAACTGGACAGGCACATCTGAAGCCAAAGAACGTTTTCCTTTCCTGGGAACATAAAACTACAGTTTGATGACCAAGGCAGCATTCTATTGATCAGCTTCTGTGACTGGCCAGCATGTGGGTGTTTACAAGATTATATTGTTAATACCAGGCATTTCATAGGAATTCAGCCTTTGTTAGACATTGTTGGAATTTAAAAATATATTAGAAGTTTATAAATTGTCTCTTCCTCCCAAATACTTCCCTCTTTACTCACTCTTAAACATCCTAATTACCATTTGTCTACTTCAGTCTTCAAAGAAAAAAATCCTTTTAGGCCTTGTATTAGTTCCCCAGGGCTGCCAGAACAAAGTATCACAAACTGGGTGTTTTATAACAGCTTTACTGCCTTGGTGTTCAGAAGGCTAAATGCCCAAAAATCAAGGTGTCCACAGGGCCGTGCTTCCTCTGAAGCATGGGGAAACCCTTTGTTTGCCCTCCTAAGTTGCTGGGGGTCTGCCTGCAATCTTTGGTGGCAATAGGCCTGCAGCTGCAGCA